TTGCTATGCCCTGCTACACCGAGCTGAGCCTTCGTGGACGTGAGGAACTCCACCTCGGGCGGGCCAACTGGAAGCTATGGAAGCAATGGAGAATTGGCGGTCGGATCTCGTTGAAAAGAAGAGGCCCCAACTTCACTGCTATTAGAGCTCCCTAACACTCAGCTCTGAAGTTCTGGACCCTCGGCGCCACCAGAACACAGCATGATGGTTGAGTCCTGTGGCATTATCTGATTGGGGTTTCCGATGTTAGGGTACCGTCAGAAGGGAATCCTACTATTTGGGAGCTATATTCCCCTAGTTTCGTAAACCCCCTTCATCTGGTACTGTAGACGATGCCTTTGACACCCGACCCAGTCGCATCTTAGTCCAGGCGTGCGGACTCGGACGAGAGTTCCGGGCGAAGCGTCCACCAACCACGAGGTGCGCCTGCTCACTCTTTCGATCAAGGTAGCGTAGCTACAGCCGGCATGGCTGACAGGATTTCAGCATCTTTTGTGTCCTTTGCGTAAGCATCACAGATTCACAGCCAGGATCAAGAAGCCAAGTACGCGTGAAGCCGGGTTCCTGTACACACTGCTGAAAACCATGCCGAGAGCACAGCTGCTTCTCCGGCCCCTTGATGGGAAGGAGAGGCTGCCTGGATGCAACTGTCCCACTGACTCATGTGGGGGTTTCTGAAATTAGGGGGTACCTTACTGAGATCCTTACTATAAGGGAAGCCTACTATTTGGGGACTATATTTTCGTAAACCTCCATGTCACGGCGAACAATGGCGCATGTCAGCCCCGGGCGAAGTCGTGTCCTCCGGACCGATGTTCCTTGCTCGATGAATGCAGCAGTACAGCTATGGCATGGCAACACTGCGAGACTAGAATGCGAAGGCGACAGATGTACAGGGTCGAGAGGGCCATCAGAGACATGTGCGACAGTTTCAGCATGCAATGTGTCGTTTGCGGTGAAGCATGAGCTCTACGGTTACCCAGTAGGCCGTGGGGGTGGGGGGGGGGGGGGTGTAGTGTCTGATTAGAAACAAGAGTCAGGTCCATCGGGCATGGATTCTGAGTGCTGAAGATGCAAGCTGTTGGACCCTGACGTCAACAATGGACCATGCAACTCATACTTGCGACAATGCCAGCATTTTGACTTCTGAGCAGATGGCTTGTCGGCATCGCCATCAACCTCGGCAGCTGATACTTGGGTCGCTTGGAGAATCGAAGCCGAGCTCTTTTTTTGTGGCTCATGTCGGCTATCCAACACTGTGCAAGAAGGCACGATGAGCATCGTGTCGAAGGCGAGCTACCATCGCAAAACCTCTACAATCTAATGAACCCTGCTGACGCTCCAACAACAAAATCCCATTTCGTGTGCAGAGCTCAGACAGCTGATGAATTTGAAGGATTTCTGGTCTGCAGCTGGGCTGCCAGGATGCGAAACTCGAGCTGACCTCCCTCCGGCACCTCGGCGTGCTGCACTGATGCGAGAAGGGGCACGTCCGCCAAATCGGTTGAGAAAATAGCCAGCTAGAGAGAGCAGGTGGCTCCTTCGCCTGCGCAGCGAGTTGTAAGGATTAGGGCCCGGTCACCCGGGCAACCGAGTCATGAAGCAGCAGTTGAGCTCGCCGCTGTGATGTCTTGGAAGTACAGGCCCGGAATCTGAGCCACGACATGCAACTACCGGCCCCTGTTGATCATGGACTTCCACTGCTCTTGTTGCAAGACTGACCGCAAGTGGCCATGCACACTCAAACGAGTTTCTGTGGGCCAGCGGCCACTCCGTACTAATCTGCGTGATGCCCGACGACACCCGCGTGAAGGGCTTTGCTTAAGAGTTTCTCAGTTCCTTCTGTGACTTCGTCACATGGGGCTCGGCATGGAAGGCATGCACAGCAGGCATGCGGCAGACATGAAAGCCGAGTTCTGGACGGAACCCTCCTGCATCCGATCGCTGTCCCAGTCGTTGTGGTTGCCGGTGGTGCTGTAGAACTCCGCAGGGTCGTCTTTGACCTCAGCGGTGTAGCAGCCACAGGCTGATGCAATCCGTGATGGCACGGAAGAACAGGTACAGCATTTTGCATTCACACCCCTTCACATGTTCTTCCATCTTGGCGGCAACATGGCCCCACAATCTCCCACCCTCAGCCTGCTCCTTCTCGAAGGTCACGTTCTCCTCGCCCGTGAGCGGGTCCTGGCCAGATGGCTCGCAGCACGGAAAGCTTGGCTGCTGCCAGAAGATAGCATCAGAGGCAGAACACAAGGTATATGAAGGCCTGCTGAAACATGCCTAGGTGCTCTATGTAGAATGTAAAGGAAGTTGCTGCCTTGCCTTGTCGAGCGACACTTTGTAGGTGTCCCCCATGGTAGCCTTGTAGTCAAGCCTTGGCGATGGTGAAGTCGCCAACGACAGAATGATAAAGTCAAGGAACAAGCACTGTGGCTGAATTCACAAGACATATCGCAGCCGACCCACCTTGTTGCAGGTGGGTCGCAAAAGCCATTCTCTAGCCTAGTTGTTTTGAAAGCATCCTCGAATGCCTCAAATTCCGAAATACATCTAGTCCGCCATGGTCTCAGGCGAGTCTTGCCAAACCCTAAACACAAAACCCTAAACCCTAAACCCACCCCTCTTCACTTGTCTTCCAAGGTTCTTTCTCCTCCCTCCAGCCACCATTAGTCACCCGCATGTGTGAGGAAAGCCTCCTTGCCCCTTCCCCCCGACCCGGCCGCCACTTCATTACTTGTGTGTGAGCAAGCCTCCCTATATACCCCCTTTCATTCCCCCCCCCATCCCCTACCCTCCAAAGAGCTTTCCGGGAAGTGGCGACCTTGCCTCGCTGCTGCCGTGGTCACAAGTAATTACGGTCCTTTGAAAGCGTGTACCCTTCCGGGGCAGCTGCCCCCGGTAGTCCCACAGGGCGGGGTCCGTGGAACCCTCAGTGGTGATGGGCGGCGTGGCGCGCATGATCTTCCTGGGCTGAGGATGGTTGTTCAAGTGCTTTTTGCACTTCGGATCTGTCTGCAAGTGGCAAACTATGAGAAGTGGGCTTGCGCTTATTGAACTTGTTGAGTTTAACCACTGCAAGCGCAAGCTAGAGACAAGCAAAGCAAAACAAACTTGCAGAAACACCCCTTGACGATATAGGTTGAGCGATTCGGTCGAGGTTCCGGCAATATACCCAACGTCAAACCCCAAGAAGCAGGCGAGGCCCTCTCAGCTGTACTCAAACCTCCAAGCGCAACACGGAAGAGTGAAAAGCAAACCATGCCCTGAAACCGAAACCTGAAAGAAGGACAAGCCCCCAGCACCCACTTCACAACCCACCATCACTACAAGGTCTACAAACCTGCGGATGTTTCAGTCTTCCTCCTTGCCGCGTGCCGGGTTTCAACTTGATTGTCACTGACATGCTCCGGTGACTTTGTCTTGCTTCTGCTTGTTCTGCTAGTTTTGGCACGTCATCTTTCCCATCAGGGCTAAATATTCTTCCTTTACGGCTTAATTAAACATGTTCCGTAGAGATCATCCACAGGCGTGGGGTGGATACGACTTCGGTTGTAAAGTGGACGTTCTGGCAGCAAAGAGCGATGCCAGCTTCTTGAGCAGCGCTGGCTATATCGGAGGGCGAGGCTCTTAAGGAAGACCCTGCGGAAGTCCACGTCGGGCTGAGCCTCAAAAGCACAAAAATGGAAGTCTTAAGGGCTCTTATTACTCTAGTTACTCTAGCATCCGGCAGAGCCAGGAGTCCAATCATGGCTTAAACCGGAGGGCAGAAGCATCATGAAGCGTGGCTACCTAGGAGCTCGGAGATGGTTCAGTTCAACCCGTAGAGCTGCCTTCTCCCCCCAGAAGATGGCGTGTCCGTTCGTGCCCCCCACACCGAAGGATGACACCTGCCAGGGTGTCCGGCACCCGTGTCGAACAATGAAGTTTGGGAGATAGGGATTACAATAGGGTACTATAATTCCTATTAAGGACTGTTAGCATAAGGGGGAACATCCCAAATAAGGGGGAACATCCCAAATTAAAGCGTTGATGAAGAAACATTGTTCCGACTTCCTTACGTCAATGACTAGGACCAGCAGGGGGCAGCCTTTGGTTGAGGTGCACTCACGCCTGGCAGTGGCCCTGGGCGTACTTGTACACCTGGGCTGCGAGAATGGCATGGCAGACGGGGTTCGGGGCTGGGATCAGGGCTTGAAGTATCCGAGGAGACAATCAATTTTGCATGGAGGTTCGTCGACCGCTGCAGCCCCTATTCACTGTCATTAAACACGTCCGCGGGCGACGCTCCATCTTTTAATTGGGGACGTCGAGACGGAGGCAACATGTCGCTGCAGCATCATCCAGCACGTGCTATCGAAAGCGTAAGCCCTGAAAAGGCCGTCGAACCTAAACTGCAACGAGCCGAGCACCCCGCAGTTTGCTCAGTGGAGTAAACTGCATCGAACGCCGCGTGGTCCAAGTGCGGATTCAGCGTCTTCAAGTGCTGCGTCGGCAACTTGGCGAACAAGGCAGCCAATCATCAGGCTGGCTGCAACGTGGTGCAGACAGCATTTGGAAGGTAAGGCAAAGCGGTGAGTGATGCCACAACATCAAAACACTCAAGAACACCTTACTACAGTACTGACGCGTGCTGGCGTGTCATCGCCGGACGTCTTAACATCTTAAGTGAGCGGCCGCCATGGCATGCATCACGACCAGGATGCACTTGTTCATGGCAATTGCTGCTGCCTCGGGTAGGCGACTCAAACTCAGTTCGCTGAATCCCGGTCATGCTTGGCACATACGGATGGACCCAGCAGCTTGGCTCACCAGAACAAAAGGCAGTGCCAGCAAACAAGTTGACTTGCCCCAAACCCTAAACCCTAAACCCTAAACCCTAAACCCGAAACCCCTACCCCTTCAAAAGGCCAGTCTGGGAAGCCACGCGCTACCTTCCAAGTGTCCGAGGTTGGACCTCAGAGGCCAATGTTCATGGGTTTCCCCTTTCTACTACCCCCCTTACATACCCTCAACTAGGCTTAATTGCCCCTCAAACAGCCTTAATTATGGGGAGGAACTTTTGGGGGGGGGGGGGGGGGGGGGAGGGAGGGTAGGTAGTAGGGGAACCCATGAAATGTGGTCCAGAGCCGCAGGTTTGTACCAACTCTGTTCATGCCGTCTGCAAAGTCACCCTTTCGGGTGGAGGGACACCCTCTAACGACCAGGGACGACATGGAAGGCAGCAAGTGTTGCCGAGTATGAACCCATTGTGCGAACGGCCCTGCCCACATATTTTATGTTATTTATGTTAAATATAATATATGTGAATATAGTACATGTTAAATACCATAACATGTAGATTATATATACATATACAAATATACAATATATACACACATATATGTATATATATATATATGTATATATGATGTATGTATACATGGTTGTGCACTGTGCGTTCTCGCCCCCCCCCTCCTCCTCCCCTTGGTGTACGGTTTCCCGGCTCCCCACCTAAACCCCCCGGAACCCCTGAAACCACATTCCCTAACACCCTAAAACCCTAAAAACCTACAACCGCTAAACACGAAAAGCAAAAACCCTAAACCCAAAGCCGGAAACCCGATATTTCCCTAAGGCCTAAGCCCTAAAACCCTAAGCCTTTAACCCTAAAACCCTAAACCCTAAAACCAACCCACAACCACGCCACAGGCTGGAGCGGAGGGGGAGGGGATGGTGGGGGGCCAGGGGCCCGCCGGGGCCCAGCCATGTACATATATATATATATATATGCCCTTGCTCCCACATGCTCCCCTGCTCCCGCATGCTCCCGCATTAGGAGGGCGGCTTGCTGCTGGCGATCAGCAGGGGCTCAACGCGCTGCTCCTTGATCTGCACCTGGGGACTGAGCCAACTTCGGGGTTTTGGGGGTTGTTAGGGTTTTCAAGGTTATTTCGGGTGTTTAGGGCTTTTTGGGTTTGCTAAAGTGCTCTCTAAGCTCCTTCTTTCTGAAACAGGCGCCGGGACCATCATTCAGAGACTTGGCCGATTCTGAGCCAGCAGCTTTTCGAACTGCGCCGACTTCGATGGGGTCTCCCAATGACGTCCTGGCGCATACTCACACCGTGCCATTTCTTCAGGGACGAAGACGCCCCTCTATTTTCTTTGCCAACAAGATGCTGACCTGATACGTTTGCGCCCGTCAAGAAAGCCCTGTCAAGAAACTCTGAAATCGCCTCGGAAAAACCCCTGGGAAGACACGGGAAATCGCGCTGGGCACCCGGTGCCGTGGCACTCCCACACCGTGGACTCTGGAGGTCGCCTTAGGAGGACCCCGAGATTCTGTCTACGAAGCGGCTTGTCCCAAGCTGACGGGGGCACAGAGCCTCCCTCCCACAGCGCAGGCGTACTTATTCTCAACGCCGGCCTCATTTGGGAGTTTACCAAAATAAGGGACCCCTAATTTATACACACCCCCAATGGTAGGATCCGCTTATTCAAAGACCCCAAGAAGGTACCCCTATTTTCGTAAACCCCTACTTGCAGCGGCCCTGAGCAGCGGGCATCCTGGCTTCGCGAATGGCACCCCAGACCTCGGCACCCAAGCGACACATGGAACACCCCAAGTTGCAGCTCGACATGGGAATGTCCGGAATTCGGGCTACCTTATGGGGGGTCCTTTAAAATACAGGGGAATCCTACCCATTTGGGGTCTATAAGAACTAGGGGTCTCCTTATTCTTGCAAACCCCCCACATCTCATGACGCACAGCAGACGGGCCAGAGGGTGCAGAGCAGAGCCAGAGCAGAGCCTTTAGGGTTTAGGGTTTAGGGTTTAGTTTAGGGTTTAGTGTTTAGTGTTTAGCGTTTAGGGTTTAGGGTTTAGGGTTTAGGGTTTAGGGTTTAGGGCTTAGGGTTTAGGGTTTAGGGTTTAGAATTTAGGGTTTAGGGTTTAGGGTTTAGGGTTTAGGGTTTAGGGTTTAGGGTTTAGGGTTTAGGGTTTAGGGTTGCCAAAGTTGAGATTGCCACGCACTTCTCCTGCGCTGGACCGTTCGGGGCCGACCTGGGCTTCAAAGCTCCCCCTCTTTGGGGGCTTCAGGGTTTTTAGGGTTTAGGGTTTTGGGTTGAGTCGTAAAAGGGCAGAGATGCTCAGAGACGGCGCTAAAGTTCTTCCACATGTACTTGGAACCATTCAGTGCAGCTGTCGACCTGAGAAATGAATTTTCCCGATCGCTTCCCTGCTCCAGACTGGCCAACACAAAGTTGACATGACGTACGAGGAGGCCGCGGTTTAAGACAATCCCCCAATCCCCCAAACCCCCCAGCCCTTACCCGCACTCGCCCCGTATCCCTGATAATGTTAGGCAGACATGCTGAGAATCCAATGCGGAAGCAGGAAGCAGACCCCTCAACATCTCTCACTGAGCCAACAAACACCCTCCCCCCTTCAGGCTAGGCCAAAGGCATGCTGGCACTGCGCCCATCCTGACCAATCTGAGAGCCCCGTAGGAAGGCACACCTGACTGAGCGGGAGGTGCCCTCATGGACCCGTCTCAACCGTGGCCCTGCGGTACGTTGAAGTTCTCACGTTGTGGAGCAAAACTGCGCTCACAAGTCGAACATGATGGACCAGAGCGTGCACACTCGATAGAGCTACCAAGATATGCCTGCAGGCTGATTGAACAGCGGCACACTTCTGCTGTCCGAACAAGGGCATGAAAGAACCCTACGAGGAAAGCCCTCACGCGCAGCTGTTTGTGCGCATCGCGCGCCAGCTTTCAGACTCTATCACGGCGTCACAGGGCTTTGTGGTTCCGAGGGTCGCCACTTCAGACTATCATGTCCCCGAACCCTTGCAACCACCGGCCCCTCTAAGAGAACTCTCCAGAAGCCTTGGTGAGAATCAACGCTCACACCCCCCGAACATTCCGATCTTCCGATGCCAGAAGGGTGCCCGCCTCTCCTCTTCGAAGGTGCCGTTCCTTGGCAGGAACTGCTGGCAGAAGGGTTCTGTAGCTTGAGGCCTGGTGACAACTGCGAGTTCAATGTAGTGGTCCCGCCTTGCCTGCCCGATACCCTTCCTGAGCCCCATCTTCTGGGCCAGGACACTTGATGATGAAGGCCGCTGTACCGTCTCCACGGTTGTAGCCGTTGGCTGTGGCCTCTGCTTTGAGATGTGCTCTGTTGCAGTGAGACTGCCTTAAAGCTGAAGAACAAGCCTCTGCAAGCCTCTTCAGCGGTCGTTAACCGAGTGCATGTCATCGCTCATCCGCAGCTCTGAGAAGCACAGGCGGCCCGAAAAACCGGGCTCACGGCATTGAATGTGAAGCAGCGGCCGCCAGGCGAAAGCATGTGCCTTCAAGCACAAGTCAAGAGATGACAAGGAAGATCGGACGTCAAAGGTCTGAAGCTGCAAGAAGCTGCACCCCGAATCTGCATGGATTGCGGAAACCTGGTGTATATATGTGTATATGGTGTATGGTGTCTAGGAGCCCCATAGCTTCGCTTTCGGAAACCCTGCGCTGGGTCCCCTCACGCCGCGCAGCCGTGGATGAATGATCCCACCTCAGGAGCCGAGGCAGCGCGTCGAAGGCATGGAGCAGCCATTCGGAGTGCCGTGACTATGTGGCGAGTGGGCGCCGCCAAACTGCTTCGAACAACCCACACACGTATGGATTCCAGATTCCAAAGGGACGCCTCAGGCGGCAGCGGTTAGCGTCAGGCCTGTGCCCATTCCCAGGTGCCACTCAAGGGGATCCCACCTGCCGAAAGCAGAAGCAAACAGAACTTGCTCGTCTACTTGCAGGTTCGTTGCTTTGACTGCCCAGTCCTGGTCTATGGACAAGAGATAAAAGGCAAGTATGCCCAACCTTGTACAAGGAACGTCTCAGATCAATACCCAGAACATAAGGAGCTGGCGATTTTCCAGCCCTGCACCCCCAAACCCTGTTCACTGAAATCCTCGCCGCCAGATCTTTCCGAAGGAACCCTAAACCTAAACCCTAAACCCTGAACCCTAAACCCTAAACCCCGCGCACCGCTGCTCCAGCAGGTTCACCTTCCCCAGGTGCGAGGCCTCGAATGAGGTCCCAAAGTCAGGTTGACTCAGGGTTTGGGGTTAGGGGGTTTAGGGTTGGAGGGTTCAGGGTTTAGAGGGTTTAGGGTTTAGGCGTACTGGCTTCAGAGGTGTATCGACCACTCTTGACCTAGTTTAGCATACAAATCTGTTGGGAATGGACTCTACTGCATCGTACCATCCATTTAGGGGCGGTTCTGCATGCAAGGTTTCCAAACCTTTTCTAGATCCTGCCAGGCCATAATGTGGTGCACGTGCTCAGGCTTGTCAGTTTGCAGCTCCATCTGCTTGTGTCTTCTTCTGCTTCCTATGGAGAAGGGGAGGCGGCATCGAGTCAGCTTCGTTTTGACCTGGCCTTGGTGGTTTGGGACCGACTCCTGTCCTACCCTGCAGCAAGGCAATCACATCTCAAAGCCAGGCGGCCACCAGAGAGGAGGAGCAGGCTGTGTCGCACGCGTAGCTGCCGCCTGCCAGGTTGACAGGGCGCAGGGCTCAGGCAGCGCAGCCCTTCATGGGCGCGCTTGCATATACTGGGTTTAGGGGTTAGGGGTTAGGGTTTAGGGTTTAGGGTATAGGGTTTAGGGTCTAGGGATTCTTCTGGAAACCCTGCTGAACCCTGAGACGCCTTTTAGGTTGAAGACGTAGTTGAAGCGGTTCGCGACAATGGCCAGCTGGTTGTTTGTCGCTACGCTCGTGGCGACCGGCATCTGCGTCCACTCCTCTGGCGGCACAAATTGGTCGCAGATCGCAGTCTATCGCAATCTGGGAACAAATGGGGGGGGAAATGGGTACTCTAGGGCACACGTTGACTCAGTCCCCAGAGTAGCCAGCTGCTCCTCATTGCTGTGCTGCCGATACTGCTACAGTTCTTCTGGAACAACCCCTAACGTGGGGGTTTCCGAAATTAGGGGTACCTTATCGGGGTCCCCTATGTTCGGAAACCCCCATGTGGTCGGCGAGCCCATGCCCAGCGGGGCCAACTGCTCGCAGTCTCCTGCTTGTCCAGGCCCACGGACACGGAGGCATGGGTGGACTTCGAGTTTGCAATCCTCGCGCTTTCACCGGGTGGGGGCTTCTTTGCCTTCGGAGTCTTCAAAGTCTTCAAGATCCCCAAGTTCCCTTCTATGAAGCAAGCTGAGGCCCAAGCTTCTTGGTGAGCCCTATCTGCAAGGTGGACAGGTAGCCCACCTGCGCAGGCCCGATCGTTGCTACCCTAAAACCCTAAACCCTAAACCCTAAACCTGGCCTCCATGACTTGACGGTACATCGGGTCCATGCACTCGGCCTGGAGGCGAGTGTGTACAGCCGAAGATCGGGCTGAACTTTGAAGCAAGACCCGATGGGTCTGGGCAGGGTACACAACGCGGCACCCTACGGGTCTGTGGGGTTGCCAAGTGGCTGCGTTCCCATGTGAGGTTGTGGGTCTGGCATTTGCAGTAGCTCCAGTTCTCTGTGCTGTCGTGCTTTTGTGCTTTCGCGGCCTCCATGTTGGAGATCTCAAAGACCTTGTTGTCAAAAAGCTCTACACCTCGGATCAACACGTGCAGGCGACACGTAATTGGGCCCTCACTTTTCTTGGAAGCTACTCCTTCTGAGGGGCTGAGGACTGGTTGCGACTTCGGCGCCATCTTGCACCGAGAAGTGCTTCACGAAGGTCGTGCCCTGGGGCAAGTCCACCTCCTCGTTGTAGTACGGAAGATATTCCTCGGAAGGACGAGGGCGTCTTGCACCTGCCTCAAGTTCCCTGGCAATCTGCAAACGCATCTATGTACCCATGGAGACTGATCACTGACATTTATATACTCGCGTTTGTACTATGGCCTCAAAGGTTCGAGAGCCCGGAGCCCGTCATGAAAGACCGCTGGAAGCTTCCCTCAACTTCCGAGCAGCGCCTCTGTGTCTCAGGGCGAGGCAAAACGGAGGATGGGCATCTCCAGCTGGGCATCCACACCGGCCGTGTAGGCTGTCCACCTGAATTCTCGCAAAAATGGGAGCAAAAACCATCAGAGTATGGCATGCTGGGAGCCTTTGCCTCAACGCTATGGGGATCAGATCCACTCTTACTACAGCATTTTCCAGCATTTACCGAACCCCTGAATCTATGACAGAAACAGCTCTGCTGGAAAGAGCAATGTCCCACAGGAACCAGGTGGGCCCAACACGGAAACTTCGCCGCCATCAAAGCACCACAACACCCTTCACATCTCTGAGGGCCATGCATGGTAAAGGCCACTCAGGCATCTCTTACGAGTCTACGCCTTTGCTTGAGGCCAACGCTCTTTGTGGTGGTCTGTCATCTTGCCGCAGGCTTGCAAGGACAGCGCCACCTGCGAGATGGAGGGCCAGGGGGCCAGGCTTTAGGTGGCAACAAAACGTTGCGAGGCATCCGCGGCTCCTTGTCAGGAAAGCTTTTGAGTCTCACTGTTGATAGAGAGGTCCTCTTACACCATGCTGACTAACTGACTAACTCCACGAGCATGAACTTCCACAAGCTGGCCTGCTTGCCAAAAACTGATCGAAGCTTTTTCTGTAGCTCTTGCCATCGGCTCGACAAGTCACTGGCGTTGCAGAAGTTCTGTCCGAGGGGGGGCGCACCACGGCGACCACATCGGGGCCCGAGGGCGGTGGCGGGCCGTCGCCTGGCCGCAGGGGCACTTGCTCCCTAAACCCTAAACCCCAAACCCCAAACCCTAAACCCCAAGCCCTTAACCCTAAACCCTAAGCCCTGAACCTTATCTGTGGCTTCGTTGAGGCGGAGGCTCCTGGCTGTTTGGTTGTTTGGAGCCAAGCTGGCGGGTGCTGCCAACAACTACCAGATCCGGCCTTTTGCATTTAAGCAGCAAGCTTTTGCATCTAATGCGAAGTTGATGGGAGAAGGCCAACTCAGCACTCTGTCAGCATTCTATCCTGGCTTTTCGGGTTCCCACATCTTGCGCCCCTTCTCATCCGTGCTCTCAAAACTGGAATCTTTACTGCCCAGAACCCTTCTTCTGGACCTCGGCTCATCAGGAGGCTCAGGTCACCATCGATGACCTCACCCAGGGTCCAGTTGGGACCGGCCCGGAGCAGGAAGGCCCTGGGCAGGACAAAGGTTTTTGGGGCTCTGGTATGGTTTTGGGATTGAGGGTATGAGCATGGGCGTTGTTGGATGGTCATTGGTATGTCGGATTCCGTCAACGCGCACGCGCTGCAGGATGTAATGTAGGAGAAATCTGTTGGCTTGATTCGATGTCTCTTTCGCGGAGGACCTTCTGGAATCCCCTAAACCCTAAATCCTAAACCCACCTTTGAACTGCCTATCACCAACAGCTCCAGAGAAGCCGTGCTTTGACAGCCGAAGCTTGCTTCACTTCGCCGCCGAAGTGATATGTCTGCAACGGCGCGCCCCTACCCTATCATTCCGCTGGTTTAGGGTTTAGGGTTTAAGGTTTAGGGTTTAGGGCTTAGGGATTAGGGGTTTAGGGTTTAGGGTTTAGGGTTTGGGGTTTAGGGTTTAGGGTTTAGGGTTTAGGGTTTAGGGTTTGGGGTTTGGGGTTTAGGGTTTGGGGTTTAGGGTTTAGGGTTTAGGGTTTAGGGTTTAGGGTTTAGGGTTTAGGGAGGAGACACTGAACCGATGAGAGCCCTTTTAAACCGGCGCCTGAAAGCCCAAGAAATCTGGGGCTGCTGCTGGAGCCAGAAGGCCTCGCTGTCATCCTCGGGCTCGTCACACCTGGGGATTAGGTCCATTTCGGCCCCCTAGGGTTTAGGGTTTAGGGTTTAGGGTTTAGGGTTTATGGTTTAGGGTTTGGGGTTTGGGGTTTGGGGTTTGGGGTTTGGGGTTTAGTTGGGGTTTAGGGTTTAGGGTTTAGGGTTATATGAGGGGTTTCCGAAAATAGGGGTACCTTCTTGGGGTCCTTATTGTCAGGGGATCCTACTATTTCGGGGTGTATAGTAGGGGTCCCTTGTGTTTCGGGGTGTTAGGGGTGACACGTCGAATCTTATGTTGAATCTCTCCAACCATCTTCTGTTGAAGTACATAAGCTACATAAGAGGTATTCAACAATCTGTGCCACTCTCCTGAAGTTTTACGGCATGGCTACAACTGCAACCCAAACGACTGTTTTGCGGAAATGGCCACGGACCCGTCTGCTTCACTGATGTTGGGAGCCGCTGCTTGCTGCTAGCCTGCTGAGCTCAATACCAATAGTCGAAGGTGTCCTGCCTCATGAGGATGATCCTGCAACAACGGGGCATGGGCACGCACGGCAAATAAGGACGGACTTCGGTCCCTGTAGGTCTGAACCCTGCAAACATGCCGCGCGTGCGTGTTGGGACCTGCATTGATCTCCTTGGCAGTCGCGGTATAGACTCTGTAATCGAAGCCGAGCCAAAAAGCCAGCTCATGTCTGCTGCTTGAAGCAAGGCACGTAGCTCTCTTCTAACCGGCTGATGGGCGCATCGTCCTTTGCCGTTAGAGCCACCTGGGGATGATACGCGGCACGCAACGCTCTCGGTGCATGGCCGGAGTGCAAAAAAAAACTCAGAATGTGGAGCCTGATGTGTGGCGACATTATTGCACACAAGGACTACGTCTGCTGCGTAAACACGAAAGGAGCACGGAGCGCCTGCTGCCACTGCCTAACCCGTCCCTTCGAAACCCTGAGGGGCAGCCTTGCACTCCCCGGGGCCCAGGAAGTGCACCTGTCCGAGAAGCAGGGAGGTGCCTATGTCTCGGGCAAAGAGGACGCTGAGGCCAACGGCGAAGCCAACCCTCAAAGCCTGTGGACCCACGCACTGAAGGTTTGGGGTTGCAACACAGACTGCCAGGACTGGGTGTTCTCGGCTTGAGGGTCAAGGAGCATGGTCCTTCTTGAAGCATCTCACCATCTCAGCGTGTCCCCCACTTGGGTGTCAAACACGTCGGCTGCACGACTCGCAGCACACTGCGCGCCCAGTTCCCGTAGAACTCCTCGCATGCCAACTGATGGAATCAGCACACAACAGTACGAAACAGTCGTTCCATTCCGGGCTTGCTGTTGCAGCCACTGGCCAAATCCAGCCGAATGTGCACTCAAGCTCTCCTACTGGTACCAGTGAAACTGCGTTGCCCTGCTCATGGTTGCCACGGTATCGCTTCAAGGTTGCTGTAGGCCGGTGGGCCAGAACTTGGGAAATGAAGGTTGCCTGGCTAAGTCTCTTCTACCAGGTTCGCGTGCTGATCAGGAGGGAGGATTGTCAAAAGGCAAATCCCATGTGATGGAGCGCCTCGATGATCGTGTCTGAGGCAGTCGGATGCTCGTAGATGGCCTCCTCCGCATCCGTCATGGACCTCGACTCACATGGGGTGCATCACCACGGATCGAGTTTGGCCATGCAACTGCCAACGTATGATCGTGCTCAATGGCACGCCCCAGGTGTAGGGCAAGGAGGGTTTAGGGTTGAGGTTCCTTTTATCCCCCCCCCCCCCCGCGGCGGCGGAGGCTTGGGGGAAGGGGGCTAGAATACACAGCACACGAAAACCTCCGCCAATCTGTTTCTTGGCTGAGCATTCTATTCCAGATCGAGAGGCAACTGGCAAAACAGATTCGAATTTTCCCAGTCGCGCCCGTCTCTCACCTTCTAGGAAAGTAAGCAATGCATGTAGTCTTGCAAAACTCCGTCTGCCGGGCACCCAGCATGCACGCCATCGCTGGCGTGCGCTCCGAGATTGGCGCCCCGAGAACATCCTGGCGTGACTTGCGGTGTGTGTTGGCTTTCCGGGTTGTCTCGTAGGTACCCAGGGAATTAAAGGCCTTAGGTAAATGGTTCAGAACAGTTCACAGGTTTCTTTGCCTACAGTCCTAGCTTGACAAGCCTTGACACGCCTAAACTGCCACATCCAAACGTGCTAAGTTGGCTTTCACGAACATGCTTGGGTTGTCATGTTGGTACCCGGAAAGGCAGGCCCATTCCTCTGCGAAGGGCTGCAGAATCTCGGCCAAGCTGGTGATATTTGCATCATTCCTGCCGGGGTGCTCCCGAAGGCGCCGGACGCTAATCTGCCAATCTGCTAATCCCACCATTGGAACCGAGGCCCAAGGGGCCTTCGCAATGCGGCACCGCGAGGAACGGAGGAGTCTTCAGGATCCAGCCACATAACTTTGCCGCGGCCGCCCCTGGGGGACGAGTCAGTCATACAAGGTTCACGAGCAGAAGCACTCTGCCACTCCCGGCCAGCAACAACGCAAAGACCCTTCAAATCGGTAGCTCGCGTGGAGGTACAACAACATCAGGTTCTTCGGCCACAAAGGAGCCGATCTGCAGTCTCTTTGCCGAAAACAGTGCTCTGAGGCTTGAGCTTGCCGAGGTAGCCCTCCTCGACTTCGTTTGCCAATCGGCAAAGCCTGCAGTCGTCTAGAGAGTTTAAAAGTATCTAAGGTGAAGGCGGTGCGCACTGAGTCCGAAAGTGTCCGAGCCATGCTCGCATCCCGCTACTGAGGGCGTGGCCTGCTATCCTTGTCGAATCCCCGGACCATCTCGGCAGGCCAAGGACTCCAAGGACCGATTAAGAACAGCTGAGATAGTCCTATAACACCAGCACTGTAGAAGTTAGCTATGCATCATGAAGATAGTCAGCACAACAACCGATTTTCGTCCTGGCTGTGATCAACCGGAGCGTCAAACATAGCTGCAACACGGACAGCAACTTTCCCACCTAAAGTTCATTGCATGCAGGTTGCCCTCATCGCTTCTTCACGATCCTCATCGCGCTGAATCAGACGAAGGACGCAGAAGCCTTGGAAGGGCGCAAAACCGTGCGCCCGGCTCACACAAGAGCGCTTCTGCTGGAGGCGCGCAGCCCGTGACTCCCAAGAAGTAGCCCAACCGCTTTCTCAAACTATCCTGCTCATGCTGCTGCAACACAAAAGGGGCTCCCTTAGATACGCGTGAGCTGGCATGCAACCAGCAAAAAACCTGTGCGCCAAGCCTTTCTCTAGTAGGCTGTTGCAGAGGACCTGCCGCCCGGACGTCTCTCGTGAATGTCGCTGAATGCTTTCACTTTAACAAAGCAGTTCTTCAACTTAAATGGCGTTGCAGGAATGGATGCATCTTCAACAGAAATTCGTCGCTTCACTGTCGCAAAGCTACATTGCACAAACTGCTTGCGCGCCCGCCGGTTTACATGCAGAATGTATGCAGAATGTCACCAAATGTGCGGACGTGTGGGGGGGCCTCGCCGAGTGCATCCCGGTTCGTCCTCGGACCAATGACTATGTCGAAGCTGTCTGGCCCACCACCAGTCGTTGGACCCTGGCAGAGCGAGAAGCAAACGACCCAAACTAGCTCCCTGTCCTGTACCTCCTACCACATACCCCACCATGCTTCATACCAAGTGCTGGCATGCTATGGCATGGTTCCTGACTCACTGGTCATTGCCACAACAACTGCATACGGAACTCTTGGTGGTTTCTTTGATCTCTCTTCCAAACTCTGCCTGCAAGAGACCTGGAATAGTGGAATAGCTCGTAACAGTTAAGTGACTCGAGGCGGGCCTGACAGTCTGTGACGCTGCGTACGTCCTTGGGGTCCACCCGCACAGTTCGCCCCGTGCCTTGGGAGCCGGGTGTAGACATACGGTTTCCTGTGCCAGAACAGGTGCCTGGGTTCGGACGCTTGGGGGGCTCAGTCAGACAAAGCGGAGCACAGGAACCCTCAACCCGCTGCTGCAATGCCTGAAGAATTCTACGTGTGGATGCATGCTCGCTCGATCGCGTGGGGCATGCTGGCGATGAAGCGTTCGTAAGCAAGAGACTGAGGAGGGCAATCTCGAACAGATTATCCTCCGGAAGCCAATTGACAAGCTGGCCACACCTTGGCTGCCAGACTCGGAGGGAGGGAGGGAGGATCGCAACCAGGCATGAGTCAGCCGCAGCACGACACTTTGGGCAACTCCACTGTTGCCTCTACATGTGAGGCTCCTGGGTCAACATGACTAAGTTGCAAACCTTCAAGATACCAGATATATGCAAGCAGGTCACAGTGTTTCTGGTGCATCATTGAAACACAATGACGTATTGCAAAAGGTAGTTAACCAGCAAACTGTGTGATGCCCCCTCAGGTCCAATGTATGGATAGCTCTAGCACCGGACATGCTGTCAGAGATTCAACTGAATGCACCGAGGGCCACGCTTGCCTGCCAGACTGGCATGGCTTGCCTGGACGACCGAAAACGGAGAGGTTCGCTGCATGCTGGAAGTCTTAGCTGAACCCTAAACCCTAAACCCTAAAGCCCAAACCTTAAACCCTAAACCCGAAATGAAGATCCAGAAATCCAGCTGAGCCTGCTCACTCCTTACAGGCTTCGCCCACACGCCTCTATCTCCACCAGCTGTCCAATGTGCAGCCCGTCGATGACGGGAAGCCACTGCCCAAGAGCCTGCAATGGAAACCAGGTCCATCGCGCGCATGAGCCTAGCCCTGCAGTATACATGAATCTCTTTTTTTAAAAAAAGACAACCCAAGTACAAAAAAGAAACATGAAGCAAAAGCACACAAGTGTGAATATACATGTAACCGCAAGTCTAACAATCGTAGAAACGTAAGTATGATGAACAAGTCTGCTCACCCTACCTTTCGTTCCTGGTCAGTCCCACCATTCTGATGGTTGCGAGCAATCATTTTGCGAGTCTGTGAGACAAGAGCTTGTTCAACAGAAAACTGTACTTCTCATTTCCAATGTGGGGGCAGGAGAGGGCTGAGCTTCAATGGATAAAGAAACATCTACGGCCCTTATGCAACTTGAATAAACTCGCTGAACCCCCTTTTCAACAAAATCTTGCCAAGCACAGTTTATGGCCTCTTTTCTACTGCAAGGGCTCTCTACCGACTTGGAAGCTAGAGGAAGTGAAGACTTATTTGCCATTCAACATTTCTTTGCAATCTTATGGTTTCCGAAGGTTATCTGAAGCTTACAAAACGCAACGAAACTCCTTCCTTCCGCTTAAAGCAACTCGGGACAACGAAACTTGAAAATCTCGACGAGGGAACGGGCATGTCTGAGACTGTTTTTTGGCAGAGCGCTTATTTCCGTTCAAGGATGTTTGCGACTTTCATGTTTGCAAAAACGTGATTCGAACAACACCCCAAATCCTAGTATGGGCCCCTGCATGTCACCCAAATTCAGAAGATCTGCCGACTTGCCTCGACGGCAAGTAATTTACCCGTTTGAAAACGGGCTCGACCTTTTTGAGCCGCCGCACTTCAGCGTTTCCAGAATGCACGTACAAGAAGCAGTAGAAAGTTCATCTGACATACAGGCTTTATTTCTCAGTTGTTGCGGATTTTGTTTTTTCAAGGCTCAACGCGACGCCCTCATCTCCTACGTTATGAAACCTGAGTCCAGAGAGGGCTCTAATTCGAACAGGGCCCCTGGAACGGAGAACCAAGATTCCCAGAAATCCTGCGGCGAATCATGACCGAGGCTCCTTTTCACTTCCCTGAGACAACTGCTCAGTGTGTCCAGTGGCATCAACTAAGATCCTGAGAGAACCATAAACCCCAAACCCTAAACCCTGCCAGCAACAGGGAGTGCCAGCTTCAAACAAGGGCTCGACCTCGTCATCGCCCTCCGGCGGAGCCATTGCGGCGGTTTTTTTTCAAAATGAGAAAAAGGCCCAGTATGGAAAGAACCACTGCTCTGGGACCTGCCAACTCCTTGAAAGGAAGAAGATCAGTCAGGTGCCTGGGGAGAAATAGAGTCTCGTCTAGTCAACCGGGAGAAGTTGGGTGAACCATCTGAGCTGAAGCCCGGCATACTATCGCCGAAGCGCTCCCCCTGGCTCTGAGCCGAGCCACGCGCAACTGGTTTAGGGTTTAGGGTTTAGGGTTTAGGGTTTAGGGTTTAGGATTTAGGATTTAGGATTTAGGATTTAGGGTGCCTTTCTACGCCCCAGGCAGGCTGGCATTCTGGTCGGCAAGTCTTGAAGGAAACTCCTTGATGTTCTGCGAACGTTTCCACACATGTCCGCACCATTCAGCCTCCCGCAGCACGATGGCGAGCTGCCCGGATGAAGGCATGACGGGGTTTACAGTTGACATTTTCAGCCGCCTTAGCTCTTCGGGCTTAGGCGTTTTCGGGTTGGGCCCTGTGCTCAGAGGTGGCGACAGGAGGCTGCGGAGCGAGGGCTCTGGTGTCCAACCTCCCTTTGAGATCCTCCGGTCCAAGCGCTGTGTTTTGCATCTTGTTTCGCGCTGCGAGGTGCTGCCACCCTTCTGGCCAACAACGTTGGCCTCGTCGGCTACTGGGCCAGGCCACGAGAAGGCATTGCCGCGCAGTCAGATAAGCATGCTACATATAAGTAGGTATTACACATATACATATACCTCTATACATGAATACACATGTACATATACATATGTACCTATATACGTTGTATGTATATATATGCACATATACACATGCATACACATCATATAAAACATGCAATATGTATACGATATCATTCACGTATACATGCATACATACATACATGCATGCATACATACATACATACATACATACGTACATGCATACATACATCCATATGTACATACGTACATACATACATACATACATACATACATACATACATATCTATTTATTTTGTGTGTGTGTGTGCGCGTACATGTTGTTTCCATATCATTTTCGACAGATATGAACATATATATATACACACATAGCCAAGACATGTCAAGACCATGGCAAACGGCGTCACGGAGATGACAGGCTCGATAAGAAGCTTCATGTTGTGGATGAACGGAAACTTCTCCGGCTTATTGAAGTTCTAGGCTTGGAATCTGTGACCTGGTTGAAAAAACTGTGACGTCACCAGCTGGCAACCTCTAGAATACCAGATGCAGGTTACAATGGCAGAGGATGTGCCCTACTTGGCATGTTGATCTCTGCTGCGAACTCGGGAAAGCACTACAGAAAATGCGTGACAGCTTCACGCCAGCCTTCAGCCTCAGTCGAGAGTGCCAGCGATACGCGGTGTAGTACGCGGCGCCGTGTCACAAAATGAACGGCGGGGCGTGTCCACTAATTGGCTCAGCATGAGTGGCCTATGCAGCCATGGTGAGCGGCTCACTGCAAGGAAGCGTGTGTAGCCTCCACAAAACCTTTGTCTTGTGAATTGGAACCGTCCCAGCAGTCTGCCCGAAAGCTCTTAAGTCTTAGGCTCTACTGTGCGAGATGCGCTCACAGGCGCCTTGAGGCTTTTGGGACAGCTCGCATATTGCCATAAAACACGCAAGGCCCGACGTGAGACTCACGATGTGTCCCTCTGGGATCGTGAGCTCGGGCAAGTAATCCTACACGAGTCAGGTTCGTCGAAGTTTGTCGATCGCCAGCAATCCTTGCAGCTGTGCATGGATGACAGGAGAGCTGATCCCAGTCTCCCGTGCTTGAAGGCCTTATGCCTCCTGCCCGCCCCTCCCCCAACACAGAAAAAAAAGCTCGCATAGTTGCAGGATCCTACCTCTCAAGACCAGCATGCTCTCTGCAGCTCGGGTGCCGCAAAGAATGAGTCCGGCATCCACGCTGGGAGCAACCCGTACCTAAAGGTCGAATGAAAGCCATAGTTCCCTTGTTTTGACTCGCGTAAGGTCGCAGACAACGACAACGGGTGACTTGAAGCCCTCCGCAAGACATCCACCCGGGCCCAACAGGCGCGCACAGGACAAAAAACTTGAGCGCCCGCCTGAAAGTACGAGGCGTCCCCCGCCGGTGCAGCGCAGCGCTCCGTGTCGCACACGAGACGGCCGTTGGCATTCACCACGTTGATGGCCTGCGCCACGCAGCATGCAACACACACATACACACACACACACACACGAGATTTCGAGTAGATGATGTTCAGCAGATGTCCCAGTCAATGGTTGCACATAGGAAGCGTTGCTGGCTCGACAGGCGTCACAAAACTCAGCATGGCTGAAAATTTGCCCATGGCAACGTCAAAAACTGGTGGGTTGAAGGACGTGCTGGGGGTGGCTGGCTGTTGATGGTCTGTTCAGGTGTCCCTTGTGCATTGTGGATGAGATTGCGCCCCTTCACGCTAGGCGCGTTCGCAGTGAGCATGGGTGGGAGTTGCGCGGCTTCCGGAGCAGAATGAGAGCACTTGATAGGGATTAAAGTAACCCCTCTTAGAGCCCCTGTTAACAGTATGAAGGTGAACATTCCACCATATCACTGTCAGCTTAGGCAGTCCAAGACGAGGAATGTGCTGGTTGCTACAAAGTTGCACTCCAAGCCGAAAGCAGTGTAATCCGAAATGCTCATGAAACAGGGGACCCCAAACCCTAAACCCTAAACCCTAAACCCAAAACCCAACAACCCCGGACCTTCTCCGGGAAGTTTCCATTGAAGGTGAACAGTCGCTGCCCCGAAGCATCTCTCAGCCTGGGCGGGGCAAACTTAAAAGCTTCCCAAACTTCCTCAACCCTAAGTGGCTTGGGGTTTAGGGTTAAGGTTTAGGGTTAAGGGTTAAGGGTTTAGGGTTTAGGGTTTAGGGTTTAGGGTTTAGGGTTCAACCGTCACCCTCAATCCAGAGCCTTAAGCCCTGGCTGATACCAGGGCAATGCGGCAAAGCCGGGTGCATTAAATCAATCGTTCACGGTCCAGCATGTCTGGCGAACGTGACTGTAGGGGCTGTGAGGCATCTTCCATGACCTCAACCCCATACCCACGCCTTCTGTTCATGAGCGATTTTCTTGCCACATTCAGGGGATGGCCGCCAACTAAGCCCAACCCCAAAGCAAAGCCAACTTACGCCACAGGCCCGGGCATGTACCGCTTGTTCGGCACAGGGTCTTCCTTGGCGATCGTTCCGTAGACCTGCGCAGAGTCGATTGACCCTCTGAGACTCAAGCGACCCATATCGCCGTGGGCTACAGCTTCAACTCGTTGGAGGCAACAATGAGAGCTATCGAAATGAATCACACATTCCCACCACGACTCTAAGACTCTAGACGCTAGACCCAAAGCTACACTCTGGTTCTGCCCCGAATGCTTTGTAGCTTCGACCTGGAAGCCCGCTACACACGCGAGCTCCAAGCTATGCGAAGCCCACCAGGCCTCACCAGAAGGCCAACAAATCTGTGGAAGACCTCCGCTCCTCCTGCGGGGCGTATCATCTCGAAATCGAGGACTCGAACGAGTCTACTCAAACCCCTTCCGCTAAAAAACATCAGGATCACGAGCCCCGGACTCATAGAGCGGCGCCGTGCGGACCTGTGTCTCTACCAGAAGCATCTCACATGGGCAAATGGGGACGACGATGCGCGCAATACAGTCGGTTACAACGGCTTCATTCCTCATGGCCCATGCACAACAGCATACTTCGCATGAAAGCATGCATAAAGCATGGCCCAAGCAATCATGACTTTTCAGGAGCGTGTCTCGTGCTGACTGGTGTCATTTGTGTTCGGATCACATAGGGCTGCTGCCCAAGCAAG